CATTTGATTTGTTCACTGGCCGGGTTACGTCATACAGATGAGATTAACTTCCCATTAATTACATGTAGTGACTAACCTTTTTTTGTTTTATTTTGTTCTTTCACACAGAGTTAAACTCTCCAAGAAGAAGCTAATGTTAGCTAAAGTTAGCTTACCGTTCTCTGTCGTCCTGCTCTATTGTCTTTAGTGTCATACTGCTGGATAGTCCGCTACAGCTTTCGGTACTTTCCCTTTGAGTTTGGTGTAGTGTAGTCCATTATTATTGTTGTGTCACAAATAAAACTAAACAAGATTTCCACGTTTTAATTATGATGCCGCCCACATGGAGGCGGCTGACTCCCTGCTCARCTCAACAGGGTCGGGATAGATTAGGCCAGGATGAGAGAGCAGTGGCACCCTCTGTTGGATGAAGGCAAAACTACACTGAAATAAGGTTTAAACGAATATTTTCAATTAATCGAATGGAAGAAATTTTAATCAAATAAACCATTATTTGACAATTAATCGTAAGTAGATTAATTGTTTGCATCCCTAATTAATATCTAGCAAAAAGCTGCTTTAAAGCCAGCATTGACCATAAACCACATCTCACATAATGCATTATTGATTATTTTACATAAACAATGACTACATCTCACCACTAGGTGGAGGTGAACTGAGTTCAAAAGTAGCTGGTAGCCGTGAAATTCACAGTATAAAATTTACATTTCACTGATTACTTCTGCTGCGTTCAGGTTGTACTGGAAAGTGGAAATTTCCCATTTACAAGTTAATAAACTCTTCCAGTTCTCTCTGTTGAAAAGTATGAGAGTTCAGAGTTCCACATCTAACCACAACTCATCAGGGAGTAAAACTCTTACTTTTAATAGTATGTCTGTATTATTTCACCTTTAGTCAGTCATAAACATAAAACAGTGTGAAAACATTGTTTCTATGCAGGAAATACCACACAGATTGGTCAAACATTTCTTGTTTAGTTGAAGTTAATTACAACTGGCCATTGGACGGCCACCATACTGCTGGTGAGACCCTCTGTGAAAGAGTTTGACACCCCTGCTTTAAGAGTTGTACACAATCACCCACTTTCCAAGGTGCCAGGCAGTAAACACTGAACTATTCCTTTAAACTGAGATGACGATCCAACATGACAAGCACTGYTATGAAGCAGTCTAAGTAGTTTGAATTTGTTACATTTTTAAACAACAAACCATATTGACCTTAAATCTAATTTCCTGTTAAATCGTCGTGTTATAAAACAGGAGATTAAAACCTTCTCACAAGTTGTGGGATTAAAACTGAGCCAAAAACACTCAAAGCCAGATTTTCCTGAAGTTTTTAGGACAGATGAAATAAGAGTGACTCACGACAATGCAGATGGATGGACTCCATTTCTGAATCATCCCGAGCACACAACTCTTTTTATGGTTCCCGATGGACTAAAAATAAAAGCCACAAACCCACCACCACTTCCTTCAAGTAGTTGTGTTTGAGATGTACGCAGCAGTAACTAAAACCCGGATCTGAACCAAAACACACCTGATCCCAAAAGAGTTCTTTGCTTATTGGTTGACTGGCTTTAAAAAATGAAGTCTACTCTTTTTCTGAGGCTGTGTTAATATTTTGAAAATAAACTTAAAACAAAAAAGTTACACGAATGATAGGTTTAAAAGTAACGAGTTTGTGCTCATTGCTGAAACCATTTGAAGGCACTAAAATGTTGAAAATCTTTGTTACAAAAACAAAGAAAATCAACTTCTTGTCTGATTTCTTCCCACTTTTTCTGTGAAACCGAGTCAACAGGAGGCCGTTAGTCAGCTTTTAACTAATCGTGACTCATTTCGTTTTTATTTAACAAAACTCTTTTGTTATATTTGCAAGAAGATCCTCTGACTGCTTTCTCTGAAATCTCACCTTTTTATTAGAACTTTCTAAAAACGAGGAGGCTTTTAGAAAAATGATGGGTGGAATCATTTGTAACAGATAGGCTTTTGTAAATGATGCAGCCGTGATTGTGGTGAGTGAAAGAAAAGTGGATTCTGAGAAACGCGGTCAGTAGGAGGCAAATCTGTTTGTCATTCTTTTTTATACATTAATAAGACAAGCTAGTGAAGCTTGAATAGAAGCATGTAGTTGAATGAAATACGTAGATAAATTTGATCAGTAAAAGAGTGAAGAGGCGGTATCCAGCCACACACTTATTCATGGTCGGGTTGTGGAAGCAACTCTCCTGGGGGACCCAGAGGCCAGGAGGGTGATACACTATAATCCCTTCTGGGTCTGCCCCAGGGTGTCCCCCCAGGAAGACAGAGGAAGGCACCCAGGAGGCATCGCAATCAAAACCTAAACAACTCATTTAGCCGCAGAGGAGCAGCAGCTCTCCTCCGAGCTCCACTTCCTTTACAGATCTGGAGTCTCATTTATAAAGGATTGCGTGGAAACCATACTGAAAGTGAACGTACGGCCTAAAGGCAAAAATGGCGTACGCCAAAAGAAATTCAGATTTATAAAACYGTGCGTACGCATGTTTCTGCGCATCTTTCCTTTATAAATCAMAGCCGCACGTCAGAGTTTGCGCACGAGGTCCCGCCTCAGGTTCTACCCTCTACACGCCCACAATCAACAATAAACAGTCAATGTAAAGTACCTCATGAATGTTAAGATGTATTTAAATCAGTCAGCTGATCAATGTCAACAAAAGTGATTGGTTCAGACGCTCCGTCGTGTGTCTGGAGGATGACAGGTGCTGACTGACAGCTGCTCACGTGAACAGAATGTCTGTAATTGACACAGATTTTCCCTCATTTTGCTTTAGAGTAATCTAACGATTTTTATAAAAAAATACTCAGCTTCAAATTAATTTTCCATCAGAGCCTGCAGGACGATAAAAACAATAAAAATTAAATTAAATAAGTCAGATAAAATTAAAAGTAAGTCCACCCCTCTTCTCCTCGTCCTCTCCCCCTCCTGCCTGCTCTGTTATCCGCGGCAGATACCCCTGCCCTGCGCACACACACACAACCCCACCCCCCGCGCGTGACAAATACGGACTTTAAACGTGAAGTTTTATAACATTCACACTGGTGAGGTGGATGTGCCCTGGGCGTGTATCCAAAGCGTGACCTTTGCTGTCCTGCTCGGGGAGGGGTCTGTGGGTCAAGGAGGGGTCTGTGGGTCAGGGAGGGGTCTGTGGGTCAAGGAGGGGTCTGTGGGTCAGGGAGGGGTCTGTGGGTCAAGGAGGGGTCTGTGGGTCAGGGAGGGGTTTGTGGGTCTGTGGGTCAGGGTCGTGAGGAGGAAGATGAATGGAGATGTGTTAACTTTTATTTAAGATTTAAGTTTTTTATTTCAAAGGTCCTCATGACTCAGCAGCAGAAGCATAAATATTACTGTTMAGARAGCTGATGATAAAGTTGAATAAAAATCTAAGTCTGATTCWGAAGGTMAATTAAATATCTGACAGTGATCATTACACAGTGTGGCTCTAATTCTTCACTTCACCATCTGTGACGCAGTTTCACGTCTCCAAAATGAGCGTACGCATGGGTCAGAGCTGACGTGAGGGACCGCACATTTTCACGTCAAGTTTGGATTTTATAAATCACAACCTTGGCGTAMAAAGTGGCGTACGCAAGTTTCTGGGCTCAAATTGTGCGTACGCCRGTTTTATAAATCCGACCCCTGAAATTAAAATGTAGCCATTTTTGTTCTCTTTCATCCTGTGTCTCTCACTGACAGGATTTAGTTTTCTCTCAAATCCTTCCAGAGCACAAAAAGTTAACTGTCATTGACTTCCAATGAGTGCTGAGTCTTTATTCAAAACTTTTTATTTTGTCATATAACTTATWAAAAAATGCAACATATCTGACAAACAGATTACTTCTACTCTGCATTTCTGCCCGTCTTTCCTAAAAGTGCTGTCAGGGAGTGACAGACACTGCTGTGTAGTTACCATGGTGAGTACAATGCACCACTGGCAACTTCTTATACATTTTATACATCAAAATGATTACTTTTAGACAGTGGCATGGTTCCGCTAATCAGATAACAGCGGAAGTAATTTTCCCTTAGCAGATTAGCTTTTTCAGTAACGTTGAAAACCATTAGCAGCCCGATTAGCTTCTGATAAATTAAGTTTGGCCAACTGGAAGTTTGCTAACAGCTAACGAACAAGCAAACAATCAACAGGTTTGTGTCAGTCCAACAAGTCTTCAGCTCCAGTGAGACTGAGTGACAGTCGTCTTAGCAGTTAGYGATTAGCTGTTAATACTAGCTTCCTTTAACTTTTACTTTTCTAGCTACACAGTGTTAGCTTCTGCACATTTTTAAACATGTTTAGTGGTTTAGCATTAGCAAAGCTATATTTTTAGTATGTAGTAGTGCCCAACTCTGCTTTTGTAGAAGTAAAAAATGTTTTTCAGGTAGTAACTTAAAAAAATAAATAGATAAAATAAAGTGTTAGGGTACATGGTACACTAAAGTATAAAATACATGATACTACTGCATTTGAGATGCTGTAAATTTATATTAATTTCCCTTATTTTAACAGGCTGTTTTTCACTTTATCAGATTTCAACAGTGGTCCAACTTGGCAGAGAGCTGTTGTGTGATTTCTGTTGTATATTAGTGCAAACACTCCCTCTTTACAGGAAGACTAAAGTGAAGTACAAGAGACGTGTTCATGTTTTAAAATCCTCAGAGATTTTCTCCTCTTTCTGCTCTGATTTCAGACTCAGTTCAACTCATGAGCACTGACTGACAAACAGATTTAAAGCAATTCAGATTCAAGAGTCTGACTCATCGGTCTAATTCACTTTCAGCGAGTGCATCAGAGTTATTTTAAAGGGGCTTGAGTAATGAACCGCTGTAATTGTTCAGAGCACTTAAAATCACTACAAAATGGAGAACAGGTGCAATTTGAGCAGTTTGGCTGGATGGTGAGATGAAAACAAATCAAATCCAAAGCTAGCGGGTTATGATGACTGCATGTTGTCAGCCTCGCTCACCTTCAGCCTCTTGAAGAATCCTCTGCTGGCCACAGCTGCCCATTAGCTCGTATTTACCTTTCTCTTCTGCCTGAAAAAATGTAACAATATATATA